TTCTCTCTGACCTCAACTGCGATGTAGTTGACGCTAAGCTATGGACACATAACGGGAGAGTTGCGTCTATGATCTATCTCAAAGACTGCAGCTCAGGATCACCGATTCTTGATTCTCATCGCATATCAAAGATCGAAGGACGGTTAAAGAACGTTTTGAACGGCGATAACGACTTTAAATCGGCTGCCAAGAGTTGTGTTTCAGTGGATATGATGACTCACATTGAACGCAGGCTTCATCAGCTTATGTTTGAGGACAGAGACTACGAGAAGAGATCCAAGAAGCAGGAGAGGTCTCCTATGGTGGTTGTGACGGTTCAGAATTGGGCTGAGAGGGGCTATTCGGTTGTTAATGTTCATTGCCGGGACAGGACTAAGCTTTTGTTTGACGTGGTTTGTACGTTAACCGATATGGAGTATGCTGTGTTCCATGCAACTATCAACACATCTGAAGACCAAGCTCATTTGGTATGTTTCTTGAACCGATCTTTGTTAAAGTTGGGAAGTTTTTGTGTGACTTTGACCTAAACGGTATATCTTTTTTTGGTTAACTTCTTTCAGGAATTCTATATCCGGCATAAGGATGGATCACCAATAAGTTCAGAAGCAGAGAGACAAAGAGTGATACAATGCTTAGAAGCTGCAGTGGAAAGAAGAGCATCTGAGGTATATAACAAGACTATCCTGAAGTTGGTTTTGAATGTTTGATTGTTTAATAAGTAATCTAAACCGGTTCTTTGGTTTTGGTTTTGTTTAGGGTGTGAGATTAGAGCTGAGGCATCCAGACAAACAAGGTTTACTAGCGGAAGTCACAAGGACGTTCAGAGAAAACGGTCTGAATGTTACGAGAACAGAGATATCAACGAGCTGCGGCATGGCTACAAACATATTCTATGTAACTAATGCCAATGGAGATGAAGCTGACTCGAAACTGATTGAATCGGTCAGGGAGAAAATCGGTTTGGAGTGTTTAAGAGTGAAAGAAATGCCATCAGTGAAACAAAGGAAAGGAGATGGAGAAGAACATCAACAGACTAAAGCAGTGTTGGTTTCACTTGGGAGCTTGGTTTGGAGAAATCTATTCAGCTTTGGTCTTATCAAGTCATGTTCTTGAGACAACAGTTCACAATGTGAGGTTAACCGAACCACCAGTGCAGTATCATTTATCCGTTGAAAGGCACGCAGACTTTATCCAAAGAAGTCTGCGTGCCTTGAGATGGATTAATATTTTTAGTCGGGTGTGGTTTGGTAAATTAAATTTGAGTTTAGGCAAATCTTTGTTCATGTTCTTGTAAATAGAGAAAAAAATAGGGGAGGGTGATTAGGAAATCAGACGTTGCTTACTGTTTTTATTGTGGGGTTTTAGTTGTTATAAAAGTGTGTACAAAGTTTCTAAAATTAATTATTATTATTATTGTTTGGAAATGTTTGTGTGTGTGCTAGATTATCAGTGGTTGGTATTTTTCTGTGGAATGTTTTAAGATCTTGGTCCAATTATTTAATTATGAAAGAAATCTAGATGTGGATATGAATATATATGACCCATCAAATAAAAAGCTGAATAGTAGCATGTTCTAGTGTTTGAATATTGGAACTTTCCATCATAATTTTCCAACAAGAAAAAAAGGACAATAAAGGTAGGTAAGCCAATAAATATTTTGGTAGGTGATACCGTGATAGTAATTGGAAAATGATGTGTTGTTGTCTCCCTATGTTCCATTCATCCCACGTTGATCAGTTTCTTATTTAATTTTGTTCAAGAGATTTGTGTCAGAAGAGTTGGTGGTAGAAGTCGTAAATATAGTTTTCATCTCATTAGTCAAATTCAATCTTGGAAAAAGAATCAAATGTCCATCTCCAATCATCCAGTAAAAGATATGAACAAAAAGCAGGATATATATAACTTTGTAGAAATGTATAACCCAATGATCCATCTATGTACAATAATTAATAACATTTGATGTCGTTCTCATGTATTAGGTCTAAGTTGCGTGTGTCAATACTACCGACAGCTTTCTATGCTTTTCTTACCTCAAACTATTTCTTAGTATAACATATAATCTTGACTTCAGATTTCTAATAATAGAAGGGGGTGACACCATTTTCATGATTATCCGATTAGTCCTAACCAGTGTTCTAAAACGCCGCCGTTTAATCGCTGACAAGCACCGCTGCGATTTAGGACTCCTAACTAAAGTTGTTACGTCACTTCCTTCAGTCATTAGGTGCTTGACTCCTTTGAGAGAGGCTACATAATAATCCCAAGCATCATCGACCTTGGTAGCATTCACATCCCGTGACTGATGATATTGTATACCAACATCAATAGCCATATTTTTTCCTCTATTATTTACACCAAAATTATCTTAAATTCCAAAAAAAAATAGCCATATTACTCTTCTGCATTTTTTTTTATGGAATTTAAGATAATTTTAGTTTTGGAAGCGATATGAGTCCGGTTTGTATAAAAATCAGACCGAGTGAAGTCCGGTTTGTATAAAAATCAGACCGAGTGATATCTTCCAATGGAAACCTATTTTTTCCTCTATCATTTACACCAAAATAGAGTAATTCTATTATTGAGTAGATTTTGCTCCAATGGTTTATTATATAATAGAGTTATTTTATTATAGAGTGAAATATAGAGTAATGTCATCTTTTCACTCCAAATATTGAGTAAAAAATTGACATTACTCTATTTTTTACTCTATAATAGAATTAGCACAAAATTTACTCAATAATAGAGTTATTCTATTTTGATATAAATAATAGAGGAAAAAATAAGTTTCCATTGGAGATGGTCTTAGAGTGTAAGCATTTTCTTCAGGTTTGTTTTTGTTGGACTACCACAGAATAAACTAGACAAGAAAGCCAGAGATTAACAAATGTTCATCTAAGCTTCAGGCTTAAACATATTTGTAGAACCCAGTACAAAAGAAATAACGAGAAAAGTGATTTTATACGGTAACAATTACCCAAGGAACAACAACAACTCCAAGCTTTTTGACATTACAAAATGTGAAAGAAAAAAACAGATTAACCGAGGCCTGAGGATTCATCTTGGCGAGGAGCGTCGGCTTTGATGCGTGGTGGTCTAACAATCTTATCGATAAGCCCGTATTCCATTGCTTCTTCTGCGTTAAACCTTTTCATCCTGCCCAAGTCTTTAAAGATCTGCATCATCATCATCGTATGCACTCACAAAGTTTATCCAAAGAAAGAGTATAAACGGAAACTGTTTAGTTTGGTTATTAAAATATGTCAAAAAAGAACAAACGCTAACCGTTTCCACAGGCTGCCCTGTATTCTTGGCTAGCTCATTGAAGAGGTAATCTCTTATCCTTGAAAGCTCTTTTGCTTCATTTTGTATATCATCAGCCTGAATAGTTTTTTCACCATTGTAATATAAAAATACTGAACTGCATTAGTAGTAGTCCACAACTAGAGAGAGATAGTACCTGACCACGGGCTGCACCTGCTGGTGACGTGAGGGCTATTCTTGACAATGGCATCGCAAACCGTTGACCCTTTCCACATAAACAACAATGATAATAATATACATTATAATTCAATCAACTTCCAAGTGAGTCCTTCATAGATGAGATTGATTACCTTCTCTCCAGCAGCAAGAAGAAAACCAGCAAGGTTATAGGCAAGCCCAACACAATGTGTCCCAACAGGACTTTTCAAGCTCTTCATTGTATCATAGATAGCTAGACTTGGAGTTAGCTACAAAAAAAAAAGATACAATAAATTTAAAAAAAAAGTTTTAGACAAGTATGTAAGCAAAGAATAGTAATGAGAGAAACTAACATCACCGCCAGGTCCATTTAAGTACATATAAATCCTCCTGGAGTCATCAAGAGTATCAAGATACAACATAGTTGCTAATATCTGGTTGCTAAACTCTTCATCAATGTTTTGTCCAATGAAGATTACACGCTCTCGATACTACAACAAAATAATCAAAGTTTGCATTCTTTTTTCTTTCTCCATCTCTCACAAGGTTAATGTAAAAGTTGAGTATATAATACGTACAAGGGCATTCCAGATATCAACCCATTGCCAAGTGCCTTCCTCTCGGTTTCTGTAAGGAACTCTTGGTGTACCTATAGGCATCATCTTCACCCTTGACCTACTCGCTTTCCCCGTCCTACAACAACACAGAAACCACACCTAGTTAGTTAAACCACTCGGAGACAAGAAGAGAAGAGACATAAAGCTAATGAACTTTGAGATTTTACCCGGATTGCAAACTCTTGTGAATCCTGCCATAGAACTCTTTATTCAAATTCTGATACCCATTTGTCAAAAAGCCTGGAACACAATTCCGACAACAGTAGTGACATGAAATAAATCAGTAAGGCACTAACCCTATTCGATTAAAAATCAAAACTTTCGAATAGATTAAGAGGAAAAAGGAACGAACTTGAAGATTGAGGCTTCAAGCCAGAGTAAAGCTTGATGCTACAGCTACACAAAACAATATAAACAGTCAGATGCAATTGTGTGTGTGTGTGTGTATAGAATTGGAGACATTAAAGTATGTAAAATTTAGAGAGAAGCTAAGATTACCTCGGACTCAGAGAAGACTGGTGAAGGGTTGTGTTAAACGAGACCGCCATGGTCGTCGAGCGTGTGTTAGAGAAGCCCCCAAACACTCACTTTTGTGTTTTTTTTCTTATTACAAAGGGGAAAAATTACAGATTGGGTGTGGAAGATGGATGGGTTTTTGTGAGATATCAGTTATATTGGTTTACCTTAACCGATTGGTTTACATTTGAAATTGTAATTTGGTTTATATTAGTTTTTTGCTTTTTTCTACTTGGTTAATGGGAAAACAACTTTATGAACCTGTCTCTTTGGTAGAGTTTCATAGCCCCTTGGATCATTTTGACCTTTGACGGTTCAGAATATGTACATATCTTAATCCGGTTAAGACTTAACCGGTTCAATTTCCACCCAACTGTACTGTACATTTGTGGTAAAATTGAAGTGTAAGATCAGATAACACTAACAATACATTTGACTATTTCAGTCCCAATTCTCAAACTAATCGAAATAATTGGAGAACAACTGATGTAACCTGATTTGGTTTGAGAAAACCGATTGCTTCAGAAAAAAAAAAGACAGAGTAACAGTCTCAAAATCATCTTTTCCCTTTGATAACAATGAGTTTCCAACAGCATCAACATGAGTCTCAAACTATATCAAAACATAAAATAGACTGATTATCTGACATGAGTCTCCTCCATTAGCAGGCAGCACTATATGAGTAACCTAATCTTGTTTGATGGAGGAGGGTGTGTGTGGGTCTGGTCTTAAGTAGGCTTCTCGTAGGAGTTTTGATCTCTGAACTCAGCAACGGCGCTGCGAATCATCTGCTCAACATGAGGCTGGACAAACATGTGAGTACTATCGAGCACATGAATAATGAACTTCTGAGAGGAAGGCATCGAGTTGTTCATGTTCACTATGAACTGTGCCATTGGAATATCGCTGCAAACAAAAAAGAAAAAAACTGAGTTAATCATGACTCCAAAATTGTGTTAATAATTTGATTGAGAAAGGAAAGAAGAGTACCAGGTGATGAACACTCCTTTGATGGCATTAACCATTTTAGAGTTTCTCTGAAAAAAAAAAAAAGAAAACAGAACCTGTTGAATAAATCTTGATTCATACTTTATTTCAATTCAAAGAAAACTGATAAGCAAAAATTCCATAAAGTGAGTTTCCAGCTACCTAAACAACACAATTGATTTCGATTCCCAAATTCTAAAGACTTAAATGATTATTATTATTATTATCCCCAGATTAAAATCTAGGTCGAGTTTCTGCAACGAAACAAGAGAGTAATTAGAATCCTATCTATCTATCAACTATGAAACTAAGATTGGCCACAAAAGGTTCGTATAAACTACATATAAGGAAGATCTCGATGAAACATAAGCTTACTTGAGAAGATCAAGGTTCGTATAGAGAGAACTCACCTCTTTGTTAACGAGATTCCTCTCTGGCCTCCAACAGACGCCCGCACAGAAAAGAAAAAAAAAGGTTTTAAAACTCTCAAAAGAGGCCCTATCACTTTTAAGTTTTAATTTTTCTTTTTTTTAATAAAAGATCAAAGTTCACATGAATTACCCAACTTCTTTCGATTGTTTGACTGATCAGTAGCTTATACAAATAATAATGATCAGACATTATAGACAGTTGATAAATCGCTTCTAACAACAAAAGATACAAAAAAAAAATTATTCCGTCACTAATCTTACAAACATCAAACTTGTAACAAAGTAAATACACTTTTTGTCCTTTCAATTTTTCTTCCATGTCCACGAGCAGGAAGGAGCTGGGCGCGCTGTATCTTTAAGCAGCGGTGTCAATCAGATGAAAAGAAGAAGATGGATTGGCGTCTGTCTTGTCAATCAGTCCTCGTAATCATCCAATGCTGAATATATCATCCTAAGAAAAAAGGTTGAAGACAAAGAGTGTTATTAGTTGTGTTGAGCTATTATAATGAAGGAGGTTAAGCGATAAAGATCTTTTGTATTTTACCAGAAGATAGTGAGAAAGAGGTTAAGTATTATGTAAGCAAGCTTGAACAGCCGTTTCTTCTTCTCCCAGTTTAGCAAGTTGAATATCTCCGTCACATCCACCAAGTGTTGTCGCTTCGAGTAACTGAAACAATCCGAATTAAAATCAACATTTGCTTGATGCAAAAAAAGGATATTTAGAAGAAAGAGACTTACAGTTGGAAGTTGTAGTAGAGATAAGGGAGACATAGGATTGCCATGAACCAGTGTCCTGTAAACAGATAAAATACACATAGAACTCCTTGAACAATGAACTCCGGTAACACCACATAGTTTATCCTTGACGCAGAGTCGTAAGGGTTGATGTAATCAAACTCAAGATCCGCTAAGCATACAAGCTGCATAAATTAAAAAAGCTTCCTTTAGTTTTCTTACACATGCCTCTCTGAGAGACACACTTATGATCAACATACACTATTTCAAACTCAGACTAAAACACACTACAAATTTGACTCCATTATGATTAAATGTAGCTCCTCCTTTATATAACATTCCCCCAAAAAAACAGAAACATTTTCAGTTACAATCCTGTGGCAAGAACATAAACTTTAATCCAGATGATGTAAGCTCGATAGGAAAGTATAGAACTTTAGATTTATTAGTTTTGTCTAAAAGATTTGAGATATTGGATCGGAGTTAAAACCTGATACACTATGATTCCGACAAGAGCGATGAGGAAGAAGAAGGATATAAGCCATGCCCAAATGTCTCCCATCTTCTTCCTTCTCCCTCCGTGGTCGGGCGAGATTCGATTGAGTTCAGTTTGGCTTTGGTTTTTTCAGAGATTTTCTGATCGGAACACAGAACTGGTGTGCAAAGGAAACGAGACTTCCGGTTCTGTTGTTTCCCGATGTTCCGGTTCGGTTTCCGGTTCTATTCGATTTGTTTTATTTGACCCAAAAACAGCTCCATGCCGGTTTAATACGATTGTCTAAGCCCGTGGGCCTAAATCTTAATAGATTTGGGTTTGTAAGTTCAAAGGATTACACACATACAAATAGAGCATTAAAGGCTACTATTAATTTGGGAAAATAGCATAAAAAACCTTCAAATTGACACTCACTAGCACTTTAAACCTTGAACTTATTTAACTAGCATATTGAACATTCAACTTGACATTTGTATCACAAAAAACCTTCAACTTGGCTTACTTATTCGTCAAGTTAAAATTGTGACTTGTTAACCTACAATACTAGGTCACATGTTGTTTTTTTTTTTAATTAATAATTGCAATTAACAATTAAAAACCTAAATAAAATTAGAAAATTAAAGAAAAAATTCTAAAATTGAATTCAATAAAAATAAAAAATATTTTCTTAAAACTTTAAGTTTTTAAATTGAAAATTTTGCAAATTAGAAACTTTTAAAAAAAATCATCTAAAACTATTAAATTTTCTCACAAAAAAATAAATAATTTTAAACATTATCACCATTATCTTGAACACTCTTTGTCATATCATTATTAAGAATAACATATTTGGTTATATCGCTAGTGACAATAGTGTCAAAATCATTGTTATTTTTATATAAGAAATTATCATCGTTAAAGATATCAATAAAATTAAACGTTTAAAACTTACAAAACATTATTATTAATTCTGATATGACTAAAAGTGCTCCTTTTACTAGTGGTATATCCACACTATTTATTTTTGAATAACATTTTAAATGCATTTGCCTTATAAGCTTTTTAAATGTTTAGTTAATAATAATAACATACACATAAATATGAGTTAGAGGTTATCTTTGATATTGAAAAAGTTGTATTAAGAGTTAAAATGTTTATATTGAAATCATCATATAGTTGTCGTTTTTTATTAACAAAATAAAAAAAATCTATCAAGGTTTTAAATTATTAGTTAGATACATTAATATAATTATGGGGATAATAAAATTGCTTTAGTTGCTATTAATATGACCATTAATAAGAATGTCGTATGGTTAGAGAAAATAAAGGGAAGACCAAAATATTAAAAAAATGTCTAAACAACTTTCATAGATAGATTTTTAAAATAAGAATAAAACACTTGTAAATTCTTAAGAAAATATTTTGATTTTTTTTTAAATTAAGATTTTTGAATTTTTCTGTACTTTAAAACAAATATATTTGAAAACTTACACGTTAAAAAAAAAAAAATTAAGAAGATATTTTGCTTTTTATTAAATTCAGTTTTAGATTTTTTCTGTAGTTTTCTAATTTTATTTAGTTTTTTATTGTTAATTTTATTTTTTAATTAAATAAAATTAAAAAACAACATGTGACCTACTATTGTAGGTTAACAAGTCACAATTTAAACTTGACGAACAAGTAAGCCAAGTTGAAGGTTTTTTGTGATACAAATATCAAGTTGAATGTTCAATATGCTAGTTAAATAAGTTCAATGTTTAAAGTGCTAGTGAGTGTCACTTCGAAGGTTTTTTATGCTATTTTCCCCTATTAATTTTATTTCCATTCAACAAATTTTACCAAATACCATAACTTTACTTTCGACAGAAGTTAATAATCACATGAATGTAGGAATACTTCATTTGCAAGGCTAGGCTAGTAAAACTATCCAAGTTTCACTAATTTAATAATTACTATATATATCGCCGTCAGTATAAGAAGGCGTCGTTGATTTTTTCTATCTCAATTATTCATACTTTCTTACATGGTGTATATTCATTTGTCATCTACGAACTGTATATCTAGTGGAGTGGTTGAGAAAACTCTCGTACATTCTTGTAAATCAAATTACGTTGTCAAAGACTCACAGTAATAATGAACTTCAGTAGAATGATTAGGTCTTCATTTCAGAGAAGTTGTCACTTCATGGAAAACGACGATCCAGTTTTCTTTTTTTTTTTTTTTTTTCTGTCAACAGTTACTGATTTACTGCCTTTTTTCTGACACAAAAGTCACTTACTAGTTCAAAGTTAAATATGCATTTCAGAGAAATAATCATTTAGCGAATCAAGCTATCATTCCATGTACGAAAATGTGTCATGTAATAAGAAAGAAGTTCTTATAAGAAAATCAACTATATCTTGTACTAAACATTTTTCTTTTCGTTTATCATTCACAAAATCAACATTTTTGATTATGCTTAGACGTATTTTGATCAAGTGTTTGACAACATGATAAGATTAATCAAAAAATTAGCTGTTATAATGCATGGATTTTGGGTGGTTGGTATGTAACAGACAAGATCATTCTTAGAGATAGTAGTAGTACTATCCATCTTTTAAGATTGGACCGATCTAAATTCTCTGCTAGCAAAATTGAATTCTGCCTTTATGTATATCGTTGGAATATGTATATTTACGACCTTATAATACATGGACCATCCATATATTAAGCATGAATACATCAGAAAGTGGGAGACAGTTGTTACATATGGTTTTACAGACATTATATATTGACCAATTAAAACTTGACTCCTCCTAACCTCCACTTGTTACTTTAATTATTGGTTTAGTTATCTTCATATTGATTTTGTACTTTACGATGTTTTGTTGTATCTTGTATTACATAAGATTGATTTATTGATACAGCAATGTTACGAATTACTATCTACAGTATTGTGTTGGAGCCACTGCATGACACATTGGGCAAGGGTAAGCTCGTTCGATGAACCCTAAACTATAGTGTTCAGTGAACTCTATACGCCTATTATTTTTGAATAACTTCTGGACGAGAGAAGATTAAAATCAAAGTTTTATAATTGATTATCTTTGTCTAAGGAAAATAGAGCCAAAATTTGTGATTAACATTCTATGAAGTTTGTACCGTGTTATCGCGACATTTGCATATTCCTTTTTTTTTGTTAAAGACGTGTTATCGCAACATGGTGTGCGATCTTTTCGTTCGTAATTGTTATTTGTATTGTTATATATCGCCATGTACGAATCTATAGTGAACGATGACACAACATGAGTGTGGTTTCATATTCGGACTTTACATGAAGCTATAGTTTGTGATCAAATTGATCTGCGGTCTAATCTAATTAAATGTATACAAACAAGAGGAAAACCATGTAAAATGAGAGTATATATAAGCTGCTTGAAACAAGAAACATATGTAAGAAGTTAAATGTTAGGTAGTTGATGTTTAGGGTTAGTGAAATAGTCGATCTATAAAGAAATGTTTGTTATTTGGTTTCTAATTGAAATGTCTGAAACAGTTACAAACGTGTATTTACAGTTCCAACTATAAGAATTCTTTGTGTACGAGTTTATTATAAGATTAAGTGGGTTTATAAGGAACATTGTTCTAATATGTTACTGAACAGCAATGATATCTGTGTGTGTGTGTTATGTTCTTTGTTGTTTTCGCAGAAAGAAAAAGATGTGAATGTTGTGAAGAGTACAAGGGTGTGTTGTTACTCATGACTCGAAAGTTCAAAACTGCGAGCGACGACCTGTGTCACTCATGATAATGTACCTTCACACAAAATCAATGGAAAAGGAAAAGCCAAATAGCCAAATATTCTAGAGTATAAGAAATACTGTAAATGTTTAGGGAATGGTAAAAACTAAGGTTTTGATTGTATGGTAGCAATGAGAAATTTTCAGTGAGAAAACATTTACTCTCAGTTCAGCTTATATTTCACCAATCAAGTGAAAATACTTTATCCGTTTTATGGTAAGTATTGTTTGAATAGATATATATAGATAAGCTTATTTATTCTTTTTCAGGAGAAAAACATCTTAACTAAATTTTAACTTTATGAATTTTGTCATTTTATTCATTCTACAATTTTATACTGAATTACTCCATTTAGTCTATTCTCAGCTACACTACTTAATTTACTATGTTCTTTCTTCTAATCATATCTAAGGATGGACAAAATATCTGTAAATTTTGATTTGATTCGTTATCCGTTTCGATTCGATCCGCAAAATATGAATATTCGTAACATTACGAATTAAAAGCAAATATCAAAATTCAATAATCCGTCAAACATGAAGGAAATCACAAATACCTATATATTTAAGAAATGATATCTGATTCGATCCGTTATATGCAAGTATATAAACAATATATATATATATATAAATTATATATTTTTATAACTTTATATAAGTTTTTGTAAAACATTGTAGTGAAAATATTATTTTATAGTAAAATTTTCTTCTCTCAAAAGAAAAAATTTATTATTATTTGTGGATCGAATCTAATATCCGATAAAAATACTTATTTTTAGATATCAAAACATCGAAGATCTAGAAGGTAACATATCGAATCAAATCGAAAAATAAACTATTCAAAGTGGATCGAATCACGAATATCCTTAAAATTCTAGATTTGTATCCTTAGAGCATACGCAACCGTGAGACTCATAAGAGTACTTAAGAAAAAAGGTATTTCGGATTTGGTAAAGATATTTCGGATTTTTTTTTGAAAAAATAAGAAGAAAAAAAATGACAATTCGCGGGCTGCCACGTGTACTGAGGACCCGCAAGTAGTGTAATGATTCGTTAAGAAACAATTTTTATTTAGAGATTTTAAGGATCAAATCATTAACTTTTTGTTAGATTTATTGATTATTTAATTATTTTTTTCTTAAAGATTTCCATCTTAGATATTAAAAGTAAGAGGAACCAAAGAAATTGTCGGTAAAAATAATGGAAGTCAAATTACACAACTTTGAAAGGGAAATGTTTTTTAGTGAAAGAAATGTTCTTTTGAGTCAAAACAGAATGGTCAACACAACACACTCTCTCACCCTTCAATGTCTTCCACTGACTGTGTAGAAACAAAATTTAATACTCACTTTACCCTTTTTATATGTTCAAATTCTGAACACATCCCACGTAGACGAGAAGACACAAATGGAAATCCCACTCACCAGTAATAATTTGTAACCAAATAAAAAGAGAGGCTCAAGAGTATTGAAAGTTCTCGTTATTTATAACTAAATACAAAACAAGTACTATTTTCTTTAAACCTAAACTAATTTTCTAAATGGTTTAGTCAGTACTTCCTTAACCTTTAGGGCATCTCCAACCCAACTCCATTTTTTACTCTAAAATGGAGTAAAAGGGAATATGGAGTAGAAAACACTCCAACCCTACTTCATTTTCTACTTCATAATAGAGTTTACTCCATAAATGGAGTTTTACATTGGAGATGCTCTTAGTCAACAAACCATTTTACAACCTTCACAATTGGGGTTGGGTGGTGGGGGGGAGGTAAGAGTGTTATTCAATTAAGAATTTGTCAACTTTTAATATTTTGTAATTAATTAAAATTTAAAGATAATTTTAGTTGACAGATTTTTAAATTCTGTAGTATGTTTTGAATTTTGATTTTAATTATTTATTCAAAAGAATCCAGAACCAATGATTTAAATACAATTAATATCAAAAAAGAAATTCAAGTTAATAACACTAAAATTTTAAAACAGAATTTAAATCAATTATAGAATAACACCAGATTCTAATTAAGAATTACAAATATCATATTCAATAACACTAGATTTCAAAATAAAATTTAGAATTATCAATCGAGGTGACTTGTTATTAAATTTAAGCTCTACTAAAATACATAATATTATAATATCACCTACATTATTAAGTAATGGTTGGTTGATAACTAGATACTACATCAGAACAAGAAAAACATGTATTAAGTAAGGTCCAGTTCCAACTAAAAAGAAAACCAGAAAGAAGCGCGTGAAAAAAACGCTCCAATGATGGGGAAGTGAGAGCCGAATGTAAACGTTTGTGTTCTCTCGTACGACGTGGGACTCTCTCTGTTCTCTCAACACCCTTGTTCCTTTCAAAAAACCTTCTCTCCACGCACGCGCGTGTCTCCCAAACTTCTTTCTCTCCTTTTTCTTCTTCCTAAAAAAACCTCTCAGACACATAACACAAGAAACAACGATCAGTCAAGAAGAAGAGAAGAAACTATAGAGTAAGTCAATTACTCTCAAAATGTCCTTGTATAGTATTGTTTAACTCTCTTCCCCTGTGTATGTATTATTTCACTTTTCGCAATGGCGACAACGAACAACAACAACACTCCAACGACAACACCAGAGGAGCTAACAGCGAAGGCTCTGAACAAAAGATACGAAGGCTTAATCACAGTGAGAACAAAAGCAGTGAAAGGCAAAGGCGCGTGGTATTGGACACACCTGGAACCAATCCTCGTACTCAATACCGACACTAATCTCCCCAAAGCCGTTAAACTCCGCTGCTCCTTATGCGACGCCGTTTTCTCCGCCTCCAACCCTTCCCGCACCGCCTCCGAACATCTCAAACTCGGCACCTGTCCCAATTTCACCTCCTCCGTCATCCCTCCTCCTCCCTCCTCCTCCTCCTCTCCTCACCACAACCGGAAACGTAACTCCTCCTCCTCCGCCGCAGCTTCTTACAACGTGACGCCTATAACCGTCGTCGATCCTTCTAGATTCTCCACCGGAATGCTCTCCGGCGGAAAAGACGATTTGGCTCCGTTAGCTATGCTTGAAGACAGTGTGAAGAAGCTAAAGAGTCCCAAACCGTCTCACACTCAGTCTCTCACGAGATCGCAGATAGACTCGGCTCTTGACTCGCTCTCCGAGTGGGTCTTCGAGTCTTGCGGCTCGGTCTCACTCTCTGCTCTCGAGCATCCCAAGTTCCGAGCTTTTCTCACCCAACTCGGTTTACCGATCATCTCCAAGAGAGACTTCGCCACTACGAGACTCGACGCGAAGTACGAGGAGGCGAGGGCTGAGTCCGAGTCGAGGATCCGTGACGCCATGTTTTTTCAAATCGCTTCTGACGGGTGGAGATCGAGATTGAGATCGAGAGAGGAGAGTAGTCTGGTGAGTCTTGTCGTGAATTTACCCAACGGGATGAGTTTGTATAGAAAAGCGGTTTTGGTTAACGGAGGAGGAGATTTTCCGGCGAACTACGCGGAGGAGGTTTTGTTGGAGACGGTTAAGGGTATTTGTGGAAATTCACCTCAGAGGTGTGTTGGGATGGTTTGTGATAAGTTTAAGACCAAAGTGTTGAAGAGTGTTGAGAGTCAGCATCAGTGGATGGTTAACCTGTCGTGTCAGTTTCAAGGGCTTAATAGTTTGGTTAAAGATTTTGTGAAAGAGTTGCCTTTGTTCAAATCCGTGTCGCGGAACTGCGTGAGGGTCGCTGAGTTTATCAATAACACGGCGGTGATGCGTCACGCGCATTGTAAGTATCAGTTGCAAGAGCACGGTGAGGCGATAATGCTGCGGTTGCCTTTAGATTGTTGTAGTGTTAGTAAGGCTTGTTGTGAGTTTGAGGCATTGTTTAATCTTCTTGAGGATGTGTTGAGTTCCGCTAGAGCGATTCAGCTGGTGATGCATGATGAGGCTTGTAAAGCTGTTTTGATGGAGGATCATATGGTTAGAGAGGTTATGGAGATGGTTGGAGAGCAAAGGTTTTGGAACGAGGTGGAGGCGGGTCACGGTTTGATCAAGCTTGTTAAAGAGATGGCTCGGAGGATAGAGGAAGAGAAGCTTCTTGTTGGGCAGTGTCTTCCTCTATGGGACGAGGTTAGAGCCAAGATTAAAGATTGGGATTCTAGGTTTCAATTAGGGGGAGGACATGTTGATGAGATTGTTGAGAGGAGATTCAAGAAGTGTTATCACCCGGCTTGGGCGGCTGCGTTTATACTAGACCCTCTTTACTTGATAAGAGATAGTAGTGGGAAGTATCTTCCTCCGTTTAAATGTTTGTCACCGGAGCAAGAGAAAGATGTAGATAAGTTGATAACAAGGCTTGTGTCTAGAGACGAGGCACACATTGCGTTGATGGAGCTTATGAAATGGAGAACCCAAGGGCTTGATCCTATGTATGCACGTGCCGTTCAGATGAAAGAGCGTGACCCGGTTACTGGAAAGATGAGGATAGCTAATCCTCAAAGCAGTAGGGTTGTTTGGGAGACGTATCTTAGTGAGTTCAGGTCACTAGGGAAAGTTGCTGTAAGGCTAATTTTCCTCCATGCTACTACTTGTGGGTTCAAATGCAATTCCTCTCTTTTGAAATGGGTTAACTCTCATGGGAGGTCACATGCAGCCATAGATAGAGCTCAGAAGATGATTTTTATATCGGCCAATTCGAAATTTGAGAGAAGAGATTTCTCTAATGAAGAGGATAGGGATGCAGAACTACTAGCCATGGCTAATGGTGATGATAATTTGCTTAATGATGTTCTTGTTGACACATCCTCAGTGTGACATTTTTTTTTCATAAATTTCAATTCTATGTTTTGATCAATTTGATTTCAGCTTAGTTTTTTTTTTCATTAGAATTTGTCATTTTTGTAGGATTGTTTGGATTCTTTTCTTTCATTCTCATTACCATTTACCATCATTAATATTAAATTTGTACTTGGTTCCAAAATGTTGATGGTGATTCAAAATTTTAAAGTTATTTGTCTTGTAATCGACTAATCATATACTAAGTCCCATCATATTCCCTTAGAGGCAGAGATTTGTTCTAGTACTCTTTTATGGTCGATGAAACATTTTGTAGCTTTCAGTTTCTTGTCATAACCATAGATGTATCCGTTAGAAGTTAGAAACTCTAACTAATGACAGCTTTGGCTTCTTCTCCCTCTGTTGGTACAAAGTTGTAATGATCTCTTTCGCTTTTTCATATTTTTAATCATGACCTGAAAACATGTCTTTACTTTTCAAGAAAATGACTTAAACTTTTGAAAGTTTAATGTTCTTTCTTCATGATAACGTTTTGTTGATGGCAACAACAGGCTAAAGATGCATAACTTGTCATCTAGAGACTAGAGTAGCTTAAGAACAAAAACCCTGATTAGCGGGTTCGTGATCTCATTTCAACCGTGATTATGATTACAATTAGGCATCTCTCAACATGTCTAAGTAACTATCAATCTATTTTCTAACATTCAGAAAAACAAAAAACGTGGATCCCCACCTTGAAAGCAAGTTCAGTGGGGAGGCTATTGTATCGAAATCATAGTGTTTTTTGCTGTTTTATACAAGTTCATTTGGAGCAGTAAATTGTCAAATTACAAAAGTCGGAGACCAATTCTTAAGCCCTACACCTTTAAATCATTAAATATTTGTTAGGATTCCAAACCTATCTACTGATATTTATGGTTGAAACTACTTATTACAGGTCTTGTTAATTACACATGGTTTATACAATTATGAATAGTTTAAAAGGTAGATATATTTCCTCTTTATATCTACAAGCCAATGGTTTGTACTTTGTGGGGTATTTCTAAAAAAGAAAATCTGTAACCCATGATTTATATTCTTGTAAATCATAACTTTATCAATAGTACCATTATTTGAAATCTAGTGGCAAGATTTCATAAATGGACTGACCGGACAGCTAAAGTAAAATTACACAAATTAAGTAAAAACAGGGATATCAATTAAAAACAATTATTTATAAATAGTAAAGAGAATTACAATGATTTAGATGCTATTTTCCATTTAAGCTATTACAAATAGATAAGTCAAGTACCTCTTTTCACATACATATACATACATACGTTCAAATATTTACTACATTCTAAAGTACTGCGACATTTAAGAAGTATTAGTGGTGGGTCCGCGCTACGCGCGGATTGTTTTACATTTGTTACTCTTACTTGTTATTTGTTTTTTTTTTTTTTTTTTAAATTTTTGGTTTTCTTGAAAAGCATGTGATGTGTTGCTATTGGTGCATGTAAGACTGAATTATAATAGTGTGTGGCGATTATTTTTTAGAGTCGTATATATTTTCCCTTCTAGATATTTGATTGCTTTTCTGTTAAAATATTGAGTTTTGAATGTATTGTATAAACATTTATTTTATGTAATATATATGTTTGAAAAAAAAAGTTAGAAAAGATTACAGTAAAATTAAGGTTAATAATATTTTTATATTTGTGCCAACATAAATTCACAAATAATTATTATTATTGAAGTACAGAAAATTAATTGCGATATAATGCTCAATGTTAAGCAACAAAAAGTGATTCACCACGTATCAATTGAGTAAATGAATTTAATATATTTTATAGAAATACCAGTTAATTGTACTTCTTGTTGATGTTACTCGGATGAAATTATATTGTAGCCTTCGTTGGTTGTAAAATGATTGAGTAACACTTAATTTTTTAACTCATACTGCATACAATGTTTTCTTAGTGTGACTCCAACACTGAGCACCGAGCTTATAGTCTTGCCCCCAACTAACTTTTTTCTCATTTGCAAAATATTGTTATATTGTATACATAAATTACATCTAGGTACGAATTATCTACTTATGTTTGCAAATGATGGAAGCCGATGTTGGTGTTGTTGTTGTCAAAATATTTTAAATGCTTTTTATAATAAATTTCTAAATTTTCAGCTGATAAACATTTTATCATAAAATCGTTGTATCTTGTTAGAGAAGTAAGTGGATGGATGATCAATGGTTTAATGGTCACTAGATTTTGACCCGCGCTTGAAAGCGCGGGAATTTTTTATGGTTAAAAATTTATATAATTGGTTTTTGTCTTAGTTTAAAGAATATTTTGATATAAAATCAGTTCACCAAAATTTGTGGTGAGGATTATTTTTCATTAGTTTTTAGTTTCAGTTTTTATTTTTAGATTTTGGTTTTTAGTGTTTAAGTTTCTACTTTTCATTTCAGTTTTTGGTTTGAGTTTTTAATTTTTAAACCTACTAAGTTAGTTTGAGCTAATATTACCAACAAACAAATCTCAAATAATCGAACATCTAATTAAAAACTGAAAAGTTGACAACAAATTAAAAAAAAAAAATTTGAAATAGTTTATTTTTTAAATAAATAAAGCAAAAAATATAACATGTGTTTTCAGCTTTTGGTTTTGGATTTTAGTTTTTAGATTTGGTTTTCGGTTTTGCTTTACATTTTTTAATCAGTAAATTACTTAAGAAAAATAAAACAATAAATTATTTAAAAGTTACTATTGAAATTTATCAAAACAAAGTGATTGTTATTTAGAATAAAAAAATATATTAACATGTTTTAAAGTACAAATATTAAATACCTTGTGGGTCTGAAAATAATAATTGATTTTTTGAACTTTTAAGGTGAAAAGTTTATTCAATGTTTTTAGAGTTTTTTTCTTAATACTAAGCCCAAAAACCAAACTATATAATTTGTTCAAAAAATAAAAGTAAGCTCAAGACTATATTCCATAAATAGCCACTGGTTTAATTTAAATATAATTAGTAGATTTCCATATTCCATATTTTGATGATATATATTCTTTTAAAACATTCCATATTTGTAGGAGAAAATATGTGTTTTTGGTATACACATAGATACCTACCATATTTTGAAGGCAGTTTACATTAAGGTCGTTTCTTTATATTAATTTTGTTGGTTTAATTTAAGTAATACGGTTCAATCAATTATATGACTTATATTATTTGTAACATTCTAGAAGGGTCCAAATTTAAATGACAACTTGTATTAGTAGATAAAAAGAATGACTCTGTTTTAATATAGTAGATATCCTACCTTTTGTTCTTATGAATTTTGTATTTTAATTCTTAAAAATTATATACTTTGATTTACATTTTTTTTAATTTATATTTACTGTTTATTATTTTATATTGTATATTTTGAATAGATATTAATCTTTAAATATGGTATTTTTCTGACCAAATGAACCTTTTTTTGTGATTCACTTTTTATTTTATTGATCTGGATTTTCTAAAACATGTAAAGCAATATTATAATGAATTTCTCTTCTTTTGTTTTTTATTGGTTTTTCTATTTATTATATTAAGTATCTGTTCTAAATTATTATTTGTCACAGATCAAGTAATAGATTGTCTCAAAATTATCATTTTTTGTTATTTATTTTCCAAACAAATTATTTTTAAAAAATGTTTTCATTATGTAATTATATTTTATTATTGTTTTATTTTCCCTTTTTATTAATTTTTCTAAGATTTGGCTGGGATTCACTTTTTAAAATGTGAGAAAACTATTTTGTAATTATTTATCTTTTTTTTTAATGTTAATTGTTTTTTTTGTGAGAATTAATTTATTTTAAATTTATTATGTACTTGTACTGAATTATTTTACGTTAACAGAAAACTGATGTCAAATATTTGGTTGTATAAAAATAATTAACACTTATATAAAGTTTATGGGTATTAAGTATTTTGTCAACAGATGTGAGCTAAATTGTAGAAAATGAAAAATATAGAATAGTTAACGAACTTTAAAAAACTATTATTAATAAATTCGTACTTTGTGATATATTAACAGTTGCATTTGTTTTAACTTCGACATTTGCAGAGAGGTAACGACTTTATTGTTTTTAGTTTTTGCATTTGAATTCTTCCATATTTGCTATAACGTTTCTTTATTTCAATATAATTATTGAATTTTGATAGTCCAAGACTATTGTTATATAAAATATTTGATGGACTTAGTAAATATCTATAGACCGTAGTGATCACTTCTTCAACATTGTTATTAGACATTTGTTCATTAAACAGTTATAAATGGATCTGAACATATCTAAAAACTTGTTCAAGGACATATGTGTGAATACTGTGAGTTGAAGGGGCAAGTATGCAATCGTTCGATTGCAACTGCAGTTGAATACGCAAATATGTTGATAGAATGCTTAACTTCACAAACGATGTAGAGAAGACCAAAGGAGAAATAATGCGAACCAGTATCAAAACTATAATTTTTTGACCAAGTTAATGTTTAGCTTCAATCTCTTATGATGATGGTGATAAGTGTAGGTTATGATGAGGTGCATGCTAAACATTACATGGATCATCGTAAGCTACAATTTTTGCCTCTTAAATCAATCCTAAATCCTAACTTGATAATGAAGGTTAATTAAATGAGAAATGTTATTTATTTGCAAAGATCTCTGCGAGCACCTCGTACCTTTCATGACCATTAGAACTGTATAATCCAGTTGTTGTTAACACGGATGGGTAAGATCTTAGCCTGTGCCAGTCTAAGAGAGGTAACTTCCCACAAAGATACACCCCCTATTTCTGCTAAATGTGGAGGAAGAAACAGAGAGGACTTCGTTTGCATAGGAGTTGAGAAGAGACGAATACCACTGAGATTCCCAGGATCCTTGTATGAGAAGAAAAAACTGGAATGAGGCTATTGGTCCTAGGCAGGGGTGTTATGCGGACCACCAAGTCCCCAAAGAGGGTCTTCACTGGATATAACGTACTGTCTAAGAGCGGAACCAAAACCAAATTTGATTCTCTGAAAAGCATATGAGCAAAAAAATCAGAAAATAAAACCTGAGGGAACAAACTGAGAATGAAAGTGCAAAGCAATGACATATATAATGCTTTGATTATGTTGCTCATGTAATATGAGAAATCAGAGTTGAAGC